TGAGAAACATAAGCAATATAGATATTTCACTAATAAATTTATAACATATTTTGTAATTCACTATATAGATTAAAACATAACTTGCTTCCTGTGTGTTATTTTGAATAACTCAATAAATATTATTTTCATGATGCTACTTACATGCTTGTCAAAGTAGCCTGGGCTCTAAATTAATATAGAATGACTCTTCTAAAGTAAAAATTATAAGTCAGCATAGTGTATAGTAATTGCTTTCAGTAATATAAAAGCTAGTGTTGATAGTATTTCAGTGAACTAGTTTTTTATTTACTAAAATAAACAATAATAAGTGTCATAAAAAGCCTGTGAAAAAGCTCATTGGACTAAGTGCTTGCTGAGATAAGCGCAGGGGCCAGGGCTTGATCCCTGGCACCACATGCCACAGTGCTCTGCCCCTGGGCATGCTGAGCCAGCGATGGGAGTCAGAGTGTTGTGGCGCATGCCTGTAATCCCAGCACTCGGGAGGCAGAAATCAGGAAGATCACTAAGAATTCCAGCTGTGTAGTAAGACCCTGTATCAAAAAAAAAGTATCATAGTGATATCAAAAAAGGGAATTAAAAAAATACTGAGGATATATGGATATCCTTATAAAATATATATTAGTTAAGTCACCTGTTTTTAGGAAAAGGAATGTACAGAATTTCACACATTCCTTTCAGCTGAGCAAGAGATTCATCAAAAAAATAAATAAATAAACAGTACAAATAAAAGCAGGTAGTTAAGAATGTAAGTCTAAATAAGAGCTCCAATAAATATTTTATTGGAAGTTATGTGATTAAACTATGCATGTGTGTGTATTGTGCATGTATTGTATAATGTATTCTGCTTGGCATGAAATTTGGTTAAACTATGGTCTAAATTTTTATGTCCCGTGTAGGTTATATTGTCTTGGTTTTTGGCCCTGAAATTAAATTTTCAAATTGGTGAGCTGCATTCTATGCCTTTCATTTTGAGAAAAACTCTCACCAAGTTACCCATCCTGGGCTAGACCTTTGCTTTTCCCACTTTACCCTTCTGACTCGATGGGAATATGGCACCTGGCACCATATTTAGCTTTCAATGTGTCTTAAAGAAGCTCCTGTCCAATTTTATGATAATCTCTGATGGAACATACCATAAGTTTCAAACTGAGAGATTGGATCTTTAAAGAAAAAAAAAGTTGTATGCAAAATCAGCAAAGTTTTGGTCTGTTTCCTTTGTATCACCCTTTTCCTTCCTTTTGTAATGACAATGTTTATGTTGTGAAACTAGGTCAGGAGTGTTTAACTTTATCTTGATTTTAATAGGTGACTCCTGGTATGAGCTTACTTTGAGTCTCAGAGGAGAATTTGAACTTGGACTTTTCAACAAAGCTGAGAATTGTCAGACTTTGGTGATCATCAAAGTTGAGCTTGATGCACTTTTCTTCATAGTATGAATATGAGTTTTTTGGGGACTGGCACATGATTGTCACTGCTTAGATCTAGAGTGACTCCTAAAGTCTTTATGTGTCTGGGGTCCAGCTTGGGAGGTGATTGGGCCACTGGTCACTCTAGCCTACTGTGGATTCATCCACATTCATTCACCATGAGTTCACAGCTAATGTCCTTTCTGGAAGTAGGATCCACTTGGACGAAGGGGTTCACTTTGGGCTGACCTGGAGAGGAATACCTAGCACCTTAACCCTTCACTGTCCGCTTCTTGATTTCTAGGAGACAAGCACTTTTCCTCTGCTATTCCTTTGACCCATAACTTTACTATTTTGTATCCAGCACTCAATGGAACAAAAATTTGAGGCAACATAAGAAATGTCCTCCTTCCTATTGTGTTTGTTGAACATTTTTATCCAACATGGAAATGACTAAGGCACAGTGGAACAGGTAAATTTCCATGTAGCATCTGTATTAAAGGAGAAAAATACACTGTGAAAAACATTATATGGACATAGCAGAGTATTCTATATGGATTGATTACTTGGAAATTGTGATAACTGTTCAACTGTTTCTTCCATTTGCATTATTAGATTACATATTAATTAAATAATAAGTCTATACCAAAAAATACAAAATGTAGTACAAATTGTCTCAGGTATTGGATACCTGATGAAAGAGTGGTCTTTCTACCAGATCAGTTTGTGTTCCTCTGGGTGCTTACCATTTTATTATTCATGTCACTTGTGGCACTTACATGATTACTAATTTTCATTGGCTTTAAGAGATGATGCATCATAATATTAAATTAAGCCACTGATAGATAATCTCCCTTAATACAGACTTTTCATTCTCTTTTTCTCTCTCTTTCTCTCTTTCTCTCTCTTTTTTTTGTATTGTTTTGTCTGTGCAACTGAGATTGAACTCAGAACCTTGTGCTTGCCAGGACACTTTTTATTTTCTACAATCCTGCTTAGAGATGCTTGTGGTATAAGTTTCTGGTTTTTATGTGAATGGCCCTGAACAATGCATTTCAAGAATCTGAACAAAGCTGAAAATCATTGGCAGAATGAAGGACTTCCTTTAAGATTCCGGCCACTTCTCAGAACATATCAGCCAGCAATTTTACATACACTGTCAGTTTGTGTCACTTCAGATTCCCTGTGGATGATTATATTCCAACACCATGTGGCTTTTATTAGGCCTCTCCAAATTGACCATGTTTCTTTCAATTGGTATTGAGAACATGCATCCCAAAGAATTTAATTCAGCATCGACTGTATTGTACAATAGATTCAAATGGTAAGGGGAGGCTTTCCATTGCATAATTTAATTAATTAAATATATGTAAATGTGAGCATTTCTTAATATTTAAGTTTTCAGCTTTCTCCCTCTTGGACACATTGCAATTTCATTTTCCATATGGAATACTATGCTTTAATCAATTATATTCATATATTCATTTATTTTTATCATACTTTGAAAGAACAGGTTTTAACTGTTTAGTTTTTTAGTCTAAGTCAAACTTGTAGCACAGTAAGTTTATTACTCATTACGATAAACACAAAATTAATAAAATATAATGAAATAAAAATTTTAAATTTTACTATAACTATTTATGAGAAACATGGGTTTGAATTTCACTTCAATTAATTTGTGTATTTCTATTAAAATAGCATTTAACACTAAAGGTCAAGAGGTTTCAGCATCAACACTATTTCAGCATTTCATTATGACATTAATGAGAATATCTAGTCAAAACATGGTCAAGAGATACTCTATGAAATTACTTTTTTTCTTATATTTGATTTATAATACTTAGTGCTTATCAAAAATTTAAAGATAATACATTAAAAATTAGGACAATTTCATTGTTCTTGAGAGTCAAGAGCCCTGAAATCATGTCTATCACTAGTATTTACTAGCAAGGGGGGTACATTGGAAACAACACTGTACGGAATTTCCACTGCTCTTTCCATGCTCCTGTGCAGCTCTTCCAATCAAATCATGGTTTCAATTTCTCCATCCTTTGACTGTGAACTGCTTATAACATCCTTTGCCTTAAAGAATGCATCAAAAGTAAAACTGGATCTTGCAATCTTAGAGTCTTGACAAGTTTCCCAGTGAAAAGTCACCAGCGTGTGCATCACTAGTCTCTTGACTTGCTGAATGTTGTTAAACGTGAGCCAAACAAGAAAAGATCTGCCTTTTCAAGGTCTGATAAATCTTTGCTATCCAGCTGACTCTTGCACAAAATTTACTTGTTTTTATTAAATAGATGTTGGAGTATTTTTGTATGCTGTCATTAGAATCATTCACTTTGAAAACTTCTGAGATGTTTATTATAAGTCTTACCATACCTATATTAATCATATCTACCACTGCTCCACTTCTAAGTACCATGCTTAAGTTAAATCATGAAATTTAACATCCCAATGTAACCACACCAACATATTTCTTTTCTGT